CAAAGCAAATTTCTGAAGCAAAACGAAGCAAAAGTTTTTGTGAATCAGCCATAACTCAACTTTTGCATAATAATGAATATAGTTTTCTCTACATCTTCTCTTTTCAGACAGCCTCTAAATTTAGTCAGTCAGTGAAATAATTTCTTATTTGACTGAATTAAGAATACATCTTTTATCTTTACATTAGAGTTTTTCATCGCACACACTCTGTAGAGTGCAACGAAAACTTTTTCATCAATTCATTGTTAATTAACCACTAATTGACAATTAGTTGATTACTCCATTATATGAAATTTTAAAACAATTAGCGTTCGAATTCCTGAAATTCTCATAATTACACAATTGAGAATGTGTTTGAAAACGTTATAAGGAGTTATCTCAAAAACATAAGTATAAGAAATATGTTCAAAAAATTATGTTATTGTTCTTAAAATTATTTTGTGGTTGCCATTTAAACTTTTTTCATTTCATTCAATTAATGTCTCACATTAATGCAGATTTTGTAAAAATTATTTAAATTTTCTTGAAAGGTTTTAGTTTTTTTAATAACGGCATTTATCCAATTAGATAGAATAGTGATGACAAAACAATTACAGTTAGAGTTGTGTTCGGAAAATGTGTTTTTTACTTAGTGTGCGACATACTTTGAAAATGAAAAATAGTAAGCTAACTATATTTAACAAATACACATTTAAAGCAAAATATATATGTATGCTTGTATGTATATAAGTAGATAATTAATAATAGTAATGAGCTAAGTACAGATATATATTATTAAACGATCAAAGGTCTTCATTTTTAACACATTGCATACATTTGCTATATGTTTATATGTATGTATGTATGTATACATTTGTGTACATATGAGCAAACATATTTCCTCGACTATTTATAGAGTTGTTTAATTTATTGCGAATTAATTACGCACTTGTCAATGCGCATTTGCAAACAAATAATTTTGCATATTTACATACAAGTATGTGCTTACATACCATATATACATCTATATTACTTGTAAGTTAATAATTGGGGTCACAAATATGTTTGTATGTTTTTAATTAGTATTAAGAAATGATAGTGTTAATTAAGGCTTACAAATAAGGTAGTTTTTAACTGATCTTTATGCGCAAAATAAGAGGAAATTTTTTATAAAAATATGCTTACATAAAACACTGTTTATCGCATAGAATTAGTTAAGATTATAAATTACACGCATGTTTTTAATTTTTTTTAAATTCATTCCCACTCAGCTGCTGTTGCTTCATATTTATATCTACATATTTTCATGTTTTTTTTTTTAATTTTATGGAAAACTACCGGCATTTATTATATGCTTATGCGTGTGTGTAAATATGTACTTCAAATAATGGAATTGCATGCAATTTATTTAAGTTTTATAAATTTTACATTTGACGTGAATTTCAGCGGGCAGAGAAATAATAATTTACGATCAACATAGTGTTTAATAGGTGTAAGCCGAGCTGCTGCCTGCTAGGAGCAAAAAATAGGAAGCCAAGTAAAACACAGATATAATAATTTTTACATAAATACATATAATTTATTTTAAAAAAATTATTACTTTATATATCCGTATACTAAAGTTGAAAATCAATTAAAAAATACAAAATGTTCTTATTTTGGGGAAATCTAAATTTCAATGCTGCTACAAAAAATACGAAATGAACGAAAATGTCGCTCATTTCGGTTTTTGTTTGTACCCACACAAAACACTTCAATTTCAGCGCTCTATACGGTTCGGAAATAGACGAAACAATTTGTGATTGTATCCCGTTTTATTTTTGTTCCTGCTTATACAACGTCTATCTCCCCTCTTAACGTGAACGATAGTTCTACTAACTGAACAAAGTCTATAAGTATATTTGGAAACATCAAAAGAAAAGCTACAAATAAAGCAATAAAACTGCAATTAAAATTACATGCAATAAAATATAAACGAAATTATTTCACATTTATTGTTTTAAATTGTCGAATTCTTATTTTTAATATGAATTATTTTCGACAACCTAGCTTTGTTTCGAAAATATATGCATTATTGTGGTACAAATATTTATATATGTATGTACTTAATAAGAAAAAATAATAATATGAGCAAACACATACATGTTTACACATATATATACTTTCAAATATGTAATGCATGTATTTGAACATTTTTTATTTTTGGTAATGATGATGCTTCGAAAGAAATTTCAAATCTTCATATGCTTTTTTGTGGGCTTCTGTTACTCATGCAGTTATACTGCATATACAAACAATAGATATACATATGTATATTCATACGTGCATATATGTACCTACTTATATATATATGTAGGTAATATTTCGCGCACCAATTACATGGTTGCACATCATCCTAGTCGTGTGTGATCAGCGACGATCTGTCTTCATGATCATTCAGTGCGACGTCATTACAGATTGCTCATACGCCATGTCGTCCACAACCAGCAAAGTGCTCGTAATGCATATTTTAGGCAAAAATAAGCAGAGTAGACCAATAAAATATTTTTTATGTGGTTTCGTTTACTCTAAAATATTTTAAATAATTCATTTGTTTTCACAATTTACATGCATACAATCAGTTAGACAGTGAAGTTCATTATTTACGTGACTTGACGTTTATTTAAACATGTTATTAGCCAAACACTTCTCACTAGACAAAAAAAAGATACAAGTTTGCACAGCAGTAAGGAATTCACGGTAAATGCAAATACTTGACTGTTAACACGTTCGTTTGCGGTTTTTCCACACAAACACACACAAGAGGCGTCTGTACTTTTTGAATTATTACAAACAAGCAATAAATATACAAACTTTTCCATTTTTACTAGTATATGCAGCCAGAGAACAGATAATCATAGTCTTGTTCCAGTCAAGCATACAGCGCACGTGGAAGTTTGTTTTCACACGATTTGTTGCTGTTCCAGAAATTTTTAATTAAAATCGTTTAAATGAAATGCAAAACTGCAATGTAGTTATATATAAAAATTAAGCATATATATATATATATATAGCTGTATATATATTTAGTTTTTTTGTTTCAAGTTTTTAGTATATCGACACAACGTTTTCTCTACTTGTTGAGTTGAGCCTTGCCCTCTTGTCAAATACTTTAAAGCAAAATCAAAGCCATCCAATTAATCCAATACAAAATGATAATACAAAGGAAAGGACAGTCGTTTGTTCAACTCACCGCTCGCCAAGTGATAGCTTTATAAGTGGGCGGTGCCTTCATAGGAGTTTCGTTAAGTAGAAAATGTAAAAAAGAGTAAATTTTGGCTATTGAGAAGAATAAGTAAAAAAATTTTTTAATTTGTTTTTTTCAATCCGGTATTTGGGATTACAAAAAAAAAATAATTCAAACGTTAATTCAATTATTTTTTTTAATGCATTATTTGCAACCCTGATTGTGTCTAAGAATGGTTGACTTACAGCAATATTATTTATTTGCGAATTAACGACCCTCTCCCGAAGTAAAGTACATTTTATAATGCATTTAAAGACACAATGAAAACAATCCACAAATTTTGGTACTTACTTCATGTTTTGCCTTGAAACTTTTAAAAATGGTGCTTTTAATGATAATATCACAGAGAAAAGTACAAACAAACAACAGAAATGTTTCAATAGAAACATTTTAGTTTTTGGTAATAATACGAACAAATACCATATATGTATATTTTTTTGTGGCATGAAAGTAAAACAAAAAATATAATCTTAGCATTAGCAATGGCATTTAATTTTCTGCTTTTCGTGTACTAGTACATATTTTCATCAACATATGCTGTACCAAAATTCTCTTCCAAATAACAATAATTTTTCAAATACATATATATAAACGTATATGTACATACGTATATTTGTATACAGTATATGTTAAAAAAATCAAAAATAGCCCACAATAAAGCCGAACATTGCTTTTCAATACTCGTTTATGGCATTTTTGCCAGAAATTAATTTTTCGGGAAATTTTTAATATTTGAAAAAGTTTTAAGAGCATTTGTCTGTATTTTATATATATATAAAAAATACACAAGTTCATCACAGTTTATTTTTTTGATTTATTTGGCAGCACAATTTCTTTGTTGTTGCGCTGTTAGCTATATTTACAGGCAAACATGTAAATGCAAATGTATTTAATTTCATACAAATGTACGTCTATGTATAACATGTGCATATGTATGCATGTATAAGAATATTTATCTCTGTATAAAATTTGCTGACTGAATTCTAATGCTTTGTAATGCCTAATGATTTTTCAACTAAATTTCGTCTTGATCAACGTAGACTCATAAGCGCCCAACTATACAAATGTAAGTATGTATAAGCTGATATACTTATTTAATTGCATAGACTATTCTGATGCTGTTGCCACCCTTAGGAGCTACCTATATACATAAATACTTACATATGTATATACTAAATACATTTTGTCGCTATTTTATATTTATTTTAAAGTTTTTTTTTTGTATATTACTCTTTTATTTGAGAGAAAACTCGCGCGCTTTGGCAAAATGTCAATGCTTGCGACGTTCGGCATGAACGCAATGGACTTGGCGTTCATCATTACTACTTAAAACCGATTTGCAGTAAATAATATACAAATGTGACGCTATTAAATCCCGACTGTTGCAACATTTTGCCGAAAAAATGTTTGACTTGCATGCAGTTTTGTATTTAAATTCTATACAACTACACTAAAAACTATTGTTTGACGATGTGTGAATCACGTTTGTATCACGTGTGACGCTAATGATGCATTTTTTTCTTGAAATCGTTGCCGTTTTTATTAATTAAAGTGAAGCGCTGCTGAGCGGTAACAGTTCGTAGGAGGTTGTCTAACAAAAATTTAATTATCTTAATAACAATGGATATGTATTAACAGCAATTAATCCCAATTTAACGCTTATACGATATAACAACATCATAAATTACCGTAATTTTGTTACACTAAAGGATTTGTTTTGTTATTCGTTTTGCAGATGGCGGAGCTCATGCATCAAATGCGTGATCCTGCACACACACTTGGCGGCTCTGTGGGCAGCATACCGCAGACCTTTGTCGCCAACGGCTCCAGCAATGACTTGTCCATGCAGCGCGCACTCACCGGCAACGGCATACATGCCACACCGGCTACCAATCTCAAGCTTAGCGAAGCCGTACGCAATGCTCAACATGATGCTAGTCCCAATATTGTTTCGTCTAAGATGAAATCGTCTAAATCGTATACACATGGCTTGAGCAACTCAGCGGGCACCGTAAGTACATCTACTTCAATCAATATAAATGTATCGTAAATATCCATAAACACGCATACTAAGCCAACTTGCCACATACGCAGGTACACATTCCGACATCTACCTCCGCGCAGAGTAATCTGTCATTGCTCGCCGATATCTCTCCCAATCACACGCACTTCTTCGAGGTCATGTATGTGGGTAAAATACGTGTCTCACACAAGCGCGTGCCGTTCTCATTCATCGATGACGCCCTGCCCAAGTTCAAGGCGTACGACGCGCAACGTACGCGTCTCATGCAGTTGACCGCCACTGCCACGGCCAACGCCACATCAACGGCTAATCGCAAACTCTCCTTGAATGTTGAGTCCAGCAGCGTTAATGCGCACGCCAATAGTAGCACCGTAACGTTTGATCTGAAAACGATTTCCTTCAAAGAGAGTGATGCTGAAGAATCAGCGGCAGAAATGCTTGAAGGCGCGGCCGCGGAAACAGAAGCCGAAACATCGACGGAGACAGAAACGGAAGCTGAACAGCAGGATGCAATCACTCGCAAGTCGGTGAAGGAAAGCATTGCAGAGGAAGGCGTTGCACAAATCGTTGGGGACGAGCATAAAACATCAAGCAAACCGAATAAATTACCGAAGCGATTACTGCGCGGCATTAGCCAGACTGAACTTCCTGTGAAAAAAGAGTAAGTGACCATATGAGTATTTTCAAGTACATATTTATGTATGTGTGTATGTGCATATAAGATTAACACACGCAATACAAATGGTTGACGTGATACATTTCAAATTAGAATTCTAGGTGTTATTACCAAATGCAATATAAACCAATCGGAAACTAGATTCATAAAAAGTTAGGTTAAGTTACCTTGGTGGTGGCAAAACGACGCACTAAAGGGCATGCGATGTAATTTATAATGGTGCATTGAACAGAATATATTTAGTTTACAGGCAGATAACATTCTTCTTCCGGTCCTTGGCCGGATAAACATTTCTGTCCGTTCCGGTTACTTAGACCCGACTGTCGAGCTAAGTATGAAGTATTTATAAATGATCATCGTGACGAGCAGTGTCGATTTAGCCATGTCCGTCTAGCCACCTGTGTATTCGCGAACTAGTCCCTCAGAGATGATGCTCTGAAATTTTGCACACGTCGTTTTCCTTTCTTAAGTTCTTTTGTGAAGTTTTTCACATCTCCGAACTGACTGATCAAAATCAAGATATTTTTATACCCTTTCATGTTATACACCTGTGAAGGGTATTATAGCCTCGGTGCAGCCCAATTAACGTTTGTTTTTGTATTTATTATTATAATTTTTTTTTTATAAAATGTTCTTCGTTATGTTTGTGATAAATTTCGCTAAATTAGGTCGTTACTTAGAAACTCAGTCATATATTCGTTATATGTTATATCAGACTTCGTTATACTTGTAGTGAGTATTCACTGTACCTTATATTTATTAAGAACGCTAGTGGGATTTAATCGCTCCAAAACTTATGCTCACTTCCAATACTTCTGTGCGCATAAATTTATATACTTGCAAATATTTCGAGTGGTCATTGAGTTTTTCTTTTTTTAATTTTCCGTTATAATGCACAGAATTATTGCAGCACCGCAATAAGAAATCACTAAAAAGTTAAATTGATCTCAAATTTCACTAAAAAAAGTTGAAAGTTGTGTAATTTAAAACGCGTATTCCTTTTTTCCTTAAACAATAAAAATAACTAAAACGGAACAACAGTACAAGCACTGAGGAAGAAAACGAAGCAGGTCCAAGGACGGATGTGTCTCTTGCACCGAATGTTATAATCAACAAACATCCATCACCGCCACGTCAAGCGCAGGAGGAGGCTACAAAAGAGCCAGCGATGCAACAAGAAAAAACGGTAACAACAGCAACAGCAGATGAGACACAACAGCAAATGCTTAAGATACCACAACAACCAACCTACGTAACGCTCGACACGTGAGTAGGACGTTGTAGCGTTTTCTGGCTTTTCGTCCGCGGCATGCATTAGAACGACTGTGTAGCTTTTTGTTGCATTCTTCTTAACCGCATTTTGTTGCTAGTTCAAGGCTCCAAGCTGAGTGAAGAAAATATGACTTTAGTTATATGTTTTTGTTGTATATTTGCTTAGTAGCGTTTATAGTACTTTTTGTGTTTTTAGAAGCTTTTGTCTTGCATGATGCTTTAGTTTCTATAGTTAAACCCCTTATTTTCAGACTTCAGTAATACTTTTTTCGCAAACCTACAATTTTTTTGCACGTCTAATAGTTTACCACAATATCTCCCACCCAACAGCATACCCAAGCAACGCGATCGTTCCGCTTCGTACGGTTGTATTCCGCCATTTGTAGAGCAGAATCGCACTATGGTCTTTTTGGTGGGGCGCTCTGATTTGCGGCTCATCTCGCCGGATCGTAAGCAAGTTTTACTGTACAAGGACTTCAAGGATGTGGCCAGTTGCGCACAGGGACAGAAGAATCCTGATCATTTCGGCATCATCTGTCGTGAGGTGCATAATGATGGCTACATAGGTTATGTCTTTAAATGTCAGTCGGATCATGTGTGCGACGATATAGTGGCGGCCATTTCGCAAGCGTTCGTAACATGCGCGGAACAAAAGAAAAAGGAAGCCACACAGATTTTCTCATGTGAACACTGTCCAATGTTGTGGTATCACAAACTCTGCACCGACATTGAAGGTTTGAGTGAAAAGAAAACACAAGCGATGATATTCCGTCGTATAGAATCGCTCACCGACGATGAGCAGGACATGATTTGGGCCAAGTACTATGGTTCGGAGAAGACCAGCTCACCGCTGTCGGAACAAAATCAATTTTTAATGATGCTTTTACGAGCGCACTGTGAGTCACGCCAACAAAGGCATGTGCACGACACTGCTGAGAATCGTTCAGAGTTCTTGAATCAATACTTGGGTGGTAGTACGATTTTTATGAAAGCCAAACGTTCGCTCACCAACTCATTTGATCATCTGTTGAAACGTAAAGCATCCAAGGATGACATTGGCATAGCGCATGATCTGCGCGATAATCAGATACGTGAGAAGTCGGCCGAGCCACATCCGGTTAGTCGCAGTGGCAACGAGACACCACCGGAGGGTTTCCGCTCACGTTCGAACACGATTGGTAGCGCAAGTCCGAGTAAACCGAATGCGGAGCACTTGAAGAGTCCCATGATGGATATGTAAGAGATACATTTTTTTAGTTATAAAATATTGATATTTTATCCGAACTTTTTTTTTCGTACAGTTTCATTAAAGTTGGCAACAGTCCAAAGGAATCTGAAGCACATAAAGCTTCATGGCGTCACGCCATTTTAAATAGCGTGGTAACACCATCGAAGGGTATGGATGGCGATGCGCAGAATGAATTTATGTCACCAATGAGGATCACAAGTGAGTTTTCAGGTACAAAATGTATTTTATCTTATAATTAATTATTTTCCCAATAGAACGCATTCGCGGCAAACGATCACGTGAGGAACTTCGCGATCTCTGGAAGACCGCCATACGTCAGACCATACTGTTGAATCGTATGGAAACCGAGAATGCCATGTTGCAGGCGCGTCAAAATGAAAATGAGCTCAAACGCATCAAACTCGACTATGAAGAGATCGTGCCATGCGACAAACAACTGATCGAGCGTTGGGAACAGATTATTGAACGTGACTCCATGAAGATCGCCAATAAGAAGGATCCCAAAGTGCTGGCACAAGCGATTAAATGTGGTGTGCCACGTTCGAAACGTGGTGACGTTTGGACCTTCCTCGCCGATCAGCATTCCATGAACACAGCACCAGTGGATACAAGGAAATTTCCAAATTTCAATACGCCCTATCATACTTTGCTGAAAAATCTCACCGAACATCAGCATGCCATCTTTATCGATCTGGGTCGCACCTTCCCTAATCATAAATTCTACAAGGATCCACTGGGTGTGGGACAATTGTCGCTGTTCAATTTACTGAAAGCCTATTCGATACTCGATCCAGAGTTGGGCTACTGTCAGGGCTTGGGTTTCATATGTGGCATATTGTTGTTGCATGTAAGTGATTGCATTTACCGTTATTTATAGCTATTTCATTGCTAACTGTATTTTTATATTTTATTTAGTGCGATGAGGCGGACGCTTTTCAATTGCTCAAACATCTCATGTTTCGACGTCAGATGCGCACTAAATATCTGCCGGATATGAAGAAATTTCAGTTGCAGTTATATCAACTCTCGCGGCTCGTCAAAGATCATTTGCCAGAATTATATATTTGGCTCGATCAGAATGACGTGTCGCCCACTCTGTACGCCGCACCCTGGATTCTAACTGTATTTAGCTCACAATTTCCGTTGGGTTTCGTGGCACGCGTTTTCGATTTGCTTTTCCTCGAGTCGTCGGAGGTGATTTTCAAATTCGCAATCGCTTTGCTAACAGTGCACAAGGACGAGTTGTTGGCACGCGACAACTTTGAGGAAATTATGGATTATCTCAAGACGGTCGTACCGAAAATGGAAGCGCATACAATGGAGAAAATAATGAAATTGGTAAGTTTGTACGAAATTTAGGCGAGGATATATCGAGTTCTGTGTTGTTAATTTTTTTTGGTGACGGTCTTCATAATATCTGCAATTTTAATTCTATTTCCAAACATTGCAGGTATTCACTTTGGATGTCAGCAAGCAGCTGACCGAATATAATGTGGAATACAATGTATTACAAGAAGAGATCTCAACAGCAAATCACCATTTGGAGATGTTGAACCGAGAGAAAACACGCAATATGCATCTCGAACAGCAGCTGCAGGTTAGTCCACTTTTGAATAACAGCAAAGACATTTTTTTCAGCATAAAACTTATTTCTAATTCTCCGATTTTCCTTACACAGTTTGCTCAATCGTCGATCGCACAGCTGGAGAAGACACGCTCCTCTCAACAAACGCAAATCACTTCGCTGCAAACACAGGTACAATCACTGGAGTTGACTATACAAACGCTCGGTCACTTCGTTGCTCAATTGGCCGAACAAAATGTCGAACTCGAATTGCCCGGCGATGTACGACGCATACTGCAACAGCTGGACGATTTGGAACGTCAACGCCGACGGCCACACTTCACTGAACGCAAAATTGGCAAATCCGTGTCGGTTAATAGCCATTTGGGGTTTCCACTAAAGGTGTTAGAAGAGTTGAACGAAAGAGAAGAACATGGTTCGCCACAAAAGAAGAAGGAGAAGACACCTTTTTTTGAACACACCTATGAACAATTGAGACAACAACGCTATACACAACAACAACAAAATGCTCAAACATCAACAACAACACAGCAGCAGCGAAAGTTATTAAATAGCGCTAGCAATTCGCTGGACGACAACCAATACCAAACGCAACAACAACAACAACAACGGCCAAATCGCCTACTAGACTCGGCAGACATACAAACGAAGCCAAGCGAACTCAAGTTGACCAATCAGTCGGAGCAGCCGTTCGATAACGCCAACATACGCAGCCCACTTGAGGTGGACAGTGGCGTGGGCACACCACTCAGTCCACCCAGCACGAGCAGCAATAGCAGCAGCAGCGGACTCAGTACAGGCTCCAGCAGTGGTGGTAGCCTCTTCAGTCGGATGGGTTACAAAAATACACCAACGGCGCTATCACCGTTAAGCAGTCGGCAAACTTTGTATGGCGCCGGCAGTGTGCCAGCAACAACAGCGCCTGGTGGCAAAGTTGTGCCAGCTGTCGCGATTATTGCGCCCACAGAGCAACCGCAGACGAGTGCAGAAATGCATCCACTGAGCATGGTTGGTGAGGTAAATGTGCGTTTTAACGGTACAACACAACTTAAATCCATACGACCCGTACATCATATGCGTCCGATGGTCACTGTGGCAGCGGGTGTAGCGGCAGCGGCTGCATCGGCGCTGCAAGAGCAATCGGCTAAGACGGCTGGCGAGATCAGCAGCAGTAGCGGCAGCAATGAGACAACAAATACAGATGCGAGTAACGGTCGCAGCTAACGGTTTTGATTCATAGCGAAAATATTGCGTAGCTTCTATTAAAGATACCTAAAACTCATGATAAATCCAAAAAAAAAAATAGACGAAAATAGAAAATAAAGTGAAGACTGCGGTGGTTTTCAGTTTGAAAGCGTGCTTCAAAATGTAGTGGTTAGCGACAAAAATTTTTTAAAAAAAAAAAGAAATCTAGCAAAAATTCTACAGATACGGAATGATAAAAACTGATGACATAAACTGCTTTTAAATGCCGCTATTTGAATTGATAACTTTAATAAGAGCACCTACGCTAACACGATCGCTATGCAAAATCTCGTTAAATTATAAGGTAAAATATGTATTTAGACAAATATATGTATGTATATGAACGTCAGCGTTGAAATGTAACCGCTAACCTTTTGATGATAATTATAAATTATTTCGGTTAATGTATGTACATATATAATTTCCTGTACCTTTTTTTTAATATTGGTTTTTCCAGTATATGTATTTCTACCAAAGTTGTCCTTACAGAAAGTCAACAGTTATTACAAAAATATAAATATTACTATTACTTGTAAGTAAAATTTAATTATACTAAAATCTTTTTTTAGTTTTTTTTCTTTTGTTTTTTTTATATACTTTTTTTTTATAAAATTTTTTTTACATAATTTTTAATAAAAAAAATTTTTTTTGGTTGTTTTTGATTTTTTTATAGTTTCTAAAAAAAGTATGTAAATTTTGGTCAGAAAGTTATATACATATATTCATTAAAGTCGATATATTGTTATATTTCGCATGTATTGAACATATTTTGAGGCTAGTCACGAGTCAATCGACCCTGTGTAAGAATGACGACTCGCATTCGGTAAAGTACAGTTTTGCTGTTTTGAAAAGATTAAGATATAAGTTCCTTATAGCTATTTTTCAGTTTTCATATATAATTTTTCTGTAATTAAAAAATAATAATAATTAATAACCAAAATCGCTTGTGTCATGTGAATATAGTGATTGAATTATGTATGTATACTTATAGTAATTAATAAATAATTAATTAAAAAAAATATAAATATTTTAAAATTCGCTTCGCTAAGTCCCAATTGTTGTTGCTTGCTTACTTTGTGGGGAAACAAAACATAAATATGTATAATTTTGTTTACCTTTTTTTCTAATTTTTCAATTTTGATTTATTTATCTCGGCAGCAGTACCCGAAATTATTTTTGGTTTGGAATGAAGTCCACCAAGTAGAAAGTGATAGATCTCGAGCCTAGACTTCAGTAAATGTGTGTGTGTGTTTTCAAAATTAGTTTTTAGCGAATAAATTTAAAAATATAATTTGAAATGTTTAAAAGCTTACAAAAAAGGTATATTAATTTAGCATTGTTTTTTTAGTTTATAGAAATAAATAATTAAGTGTAAACAAATGGTTAGTAATTTACAAATATTTATATAGATTCTTATTCGAAGATAATTTATGTCTATGTATGCGCGATTATATTGCATAATTTTCTATTTTCATTTCTATTTGCAATTTTTTTTATTGAAACAAATAATTCGAGCGTTAATGCCATGCATATACTCGTTTATACATGCAGTAAATATTTACATAAGTACTTAAGCAAAAATTAAAAAATAAAATACATAAAACGATAAATGTATAGCTTGCTTATATGTGTTACGTTGTGATTAGAAAAGAAAAATTTATTGAAAAACTTATATTCAAATTGTAGTTGCAAATTACCCGCTTGATTAGCTACAAATACTTATAAAAGTACACAAAAATGTTTACGTATAATCTCTCTTAGCATAAGCTCGTGCATAAATTTGTATAATCACATGCATATATATATCAATTTTTTGTTTATTTACTAGCGCTTGTTATAATTTTTTTAAATAAAATGTAATCACATATGTAATCAAAAGTAAATTATAATATATTGTAATTTCTAGTTTAGTAATGTAATTTGCAAGTACCAAAAGCATAGCCGTGACTTAAATGTACATAAGTGTATACATACATACATATGTATGTGTGTATATGCTTGCATAGTGTGTAGTAGTGTAGGAGTGTAGTGCCCAAATATGCGCTCTGCTGCAATTCTTCACAAATACTTATATATACTAGTATATTTGTATCCGACTTTCGAATACCTACTTTTCAAGGTTTTATAAAATGCTTAAAAATGGTTAAATTTATATGCTCACAAATATACACACATAAATACAGATATACAGTTATATTATGGAAATGTCTCAGTAAAATAAAAATTGCTATATGTATTTAATTGCGGAGCAGCATAATTATTTGTTTAACCAAATACAAAAACTAAAACTAAATAAATTCTATTTATTATGTAGTTCACTGAAAGCAATTGCAGCTATTGAATAAAAATGTATAACTACTTAAAAGTGTTTTATTAAAAATTATAGATATATGTTTTTAAGATTTGAAAACAAAACTTAGATTTACTTCAGATCTATTTCATCTATTTGTGTCACAAAATTACATAATTAATGTCTGGAAAGATGCGAATTTAATTTTATTGCTATAGTATGAACGACCGTAAGTACTAAGGCGCACACGTGCGGTATTTGGTGGAATGGAACGCATTTCGAAATCAAAATTTGCATATTTTACGCAGGTATTTTCTTTGATGTTTAATTAATGCTTTTTAATGGGAAATATTCTAACATATCATAATCATGTCATTTCGCAGGTAAATAATGGTCACATGAAAGTGCTTTGACCCTTAGCGTGACCTTTGTCAGATTGAAAACCCTTGGAAGATATACATACAATTTATATATATATAGAATGTATATATACATACTATATATATATATACATATATACATAGTATATGTTACTGAAAGAGTGACCATTTTTGAGAAGGATCGCCACCTCTTTAAATAGATATTATATTTAAGTAAGAAAAAAATATTTTTTACCAGATTAGTTAACAATATATGTATTTATTATTATTATTTTTAAGTATGATTTTGAAACACATTAAAATATTTTTAATATTATAATTTAATATAAATGACATATGAATACATTATTATTTTTTACTATTTATTTACAATAACAATAAGAAAATCACAGTTATAATTTGTTCGTTTAATTTTTTATTAAAAATAATTTATTGATATCTATAAAAAATAAAAGTATTTGCTGCAAATATTTTTATTTAATTTATTTTGATTTTTTACGGATTTTTTTAAAATAATTTAAAAAAAAGTCAACCTGTCAAAACAAATGTCTTCTAAGGTACAAAAATGTCATATATGTATATATGTATATACTTTCAAACACTATCAATTTTATTCCGGAAGACAAACAGAACACCCAAAAAGGTTTTTTGTCAGCTTTTCAAATTGTATAACAACTACCATTGAAGCTTGAAGCTTTAAATGATGAGCTTGCACAATTTTAAAAAAGTTGCCAAAGAAGCTTTTTCCTAAATAAAGCTATAACTTTTCCTATATAAGCCATGCACAATTAATTATTATGGAAACAAAATGAGTTTAATCTATAAATTAAAAAAAATCCATATTTTGCTTCCTACAAACTCAAATTTCGCTGGAAAAGCAACTAAAATAAAATATTTTCGGAAACTGAAACGAATTTTATAGTCCCTCAAAACGTATAAATTATTGTACAAACGATGTATGTTCCACTAAGCTTTCTCTATGTGAATGTTGTAAAAATGTCCCTATACAAACACGTTGAGTCGAATTGCTGGAAGCGCCTATCATCCATTCTAATGGACGAAAGTGCTCTTAAAGCTCTTGCAATAACTTGCACTGAAGCTTTTAAACCGTCAACTTATACGGTACAGTTAATGTCATCGGATTGCCAAAACAACTAACAGATAACCCTTTGAGGACCCATCATATCCAAAACACGGCGTGCAAATTTAATTGCATACTATAACGCGACAAGTTTCCCAAAGTAATTTGCTGTAGGCGACCCCTGTCGCCATAACCTATTCAACAAACTCCTTGTAAGCAACTCACATTCACTCCTTGTATTGTTGCTGCTTCTCACCATATTCCGATTTGATGGTCGCACCCGACGGCCCACTAAAAGCCGACATATTACCATACAGACCGGATGCGGGTGGCATTACACCAGCTATCGCCGCAGCACCTAACATGTTTGCCATATTCGCTGGCATACCACCCGGATAAAGGTTTTGGTAGAAAAGTGGATTCTGTAGCTGGAAAAGCGCCATCAGATGGGTCAACTGCATATTTGGCGTATTGGGATCCTGCATTTGCATGCTCTGTGCAGCAGCTGCCGCGGCTGCGGCTGCAGTGGCAGCATTGAAGTTGGACAGGAAGGGTGGTGGGAACAGACCCGCAGCAGCACTGGGCATTTGTGTGTTGTTGGGAACATTGTTGTTAGCAAGTTGTGCGTTAGCAGCAGCAGAGGCAGCCAATTGATCAGTGTTCGGCTCCAACTTGATGCGCTTGGTTGGCTCAGTCTTAACGGGCAATTCCTATAAATTGAGAAGACAATAAAAAATTAAATCGAAAAATATATCATTTCACTTACAATTTTCTTTGGTGGACGCCCACGTTTTCGCGCCAAAAAGCGATCTGCGCTGAGCGAAGACAAAGGTGTGGTAGTATGCGTGGTTATATTCGCAGTAGCTACGGTATTGGTCGCCGCGAGTGTCGTGGCGCTCGACGCTGGTGAATCCTCACCGCTGGAGTCCTTCTGTTTCTTGAAATTCTGATAGGCCTGCTCACCATCGAGACGATCATGTTTGCGTTTATGGCTGATCATTTGACTGCTTGAGTGCAGAATATAAGTGCAGCCCTCGCGCACACAATGGATGTGATTGCAGACGGTGGAGAATTTGCAACCATCGAAAGGGCAAGCCTCGGTCTTTAGTATTTTCTTGAAGCCATCCTGAGTGAGCTGATAGTCGCGCAGATGATATGACTTATGTTTATCTGGAAAATATAATTAAAACCCATTGAAAATTAGACTTTAATGACTTAACAGGCACCATCAGTTATCATTTGCTCTTCGTCCATCACTTACCCATATCAGCCTTGTTCTTGAATGTGTGATTGCAACCTTCACGACAGCAGTGGTAATGCGACGTCTTCTTGCCGTAGAATGGACAGTCTTCGATTTTGCAATTTTCGTGTGCGCGAAAGCGTCGGAAACCTTCTTGCACGATTTCCGAGTTTTTGCGATGGAAATTTGCATGCATCTGCACATCGCTCGTGCTCACATAAACCTTCGGGCAGTCCTCGTAGACGCAATGATAATGCGTTTGCTTCCAACAATATATACAACCGGCACCATAAGCAGGCTCACAGTCATCCGAGGCGGAGAAACGTGCAAAACCAAGTAACAAACTCTCTTTGCGTTTCTTATGCCATTTCAAGTGTCGAATTATATCATCTTTCTTACTCAATATCTTACCCTGACAAGGCTCATCGAAACAATGGAAATGTTCACGTAGATTCTCTTGCCGACAAAGCGCATTCTCACACTCCAAATAAGACGAGACTTTGCGCAGATTTTTGAGATTCTCTTCATTTTGCAGGAAGGCATCTAAACTGCCGACGGTGTTCAGACTCATTATGGCTGAAGTGCCAGCAAGGCCAGTTACGCCAACAGATTGCTGTGTTGGCTCAGGATTGAGCGTCTGTGTAGTTGAATGGAGACTATGTTTTCTATTATTTGCTGTGGGCAACTGGTCACTAGAAGGTGGTGTAAGTAGGGTTTTCGCAAGCGACATAGGTGTCATGTTCGCATTTTCGTTTTCGGTGAGTTGTGTAAACGTACCGGCTACGTCTTGAGTGATCGTAGCGTTTTGTTGTGAAGGGTAGTGCGTGGAATCGGCCGGTTGCTTTGTGGGTGTTATATAAGGCTAAAAGAGAATTAAATTTATGTTCGAATATTGTTATAAAAAGGTTTAATTTAATTTATAAAGAAAACTATAATATTAACTGCCGTAGACTTCTAATTATAGAGAAAGTTTTTCTGGTAAGACTCGGTTTTCAACAGACAATGGTAGACCTTTAAACATACTGCTTTTTTCATCACTCGACATTTCAGCGGAGGAGTATATGCTCAATCAGACACAAATTGTGCACAAAGTTAAGCAGAATAGTACCAACATACATACATATGTACATATGCATATCACTGAGAAAGCGAGCACGTTCAATCAGCCCACGCAAGTTCTCCTCTTAGAAGTCTTTGCATATCTCATAAAGTTTATTTACTCAAATCGCTCGTATTTTCATTAGAAATGAAGTTGTCGTTTAACTTTTGTTTATTTATTTCTGTTTTTTCTTTTGTGATAAAAAATCGGCTGCAACATTGTTGCCGAATTTGTTGTTGATCTTGCACAGCTGTAAGTCAGCAGACTGGTAATGGATACTGTCTACACATAAACATAGCGTTGAAACACTTGTATGTACATTACTTTGAAATTTATGTATATTTTTTACTTATAAAGACATACATATGTATATCTGTAAAAATATTCTGATTAATCTTAAGTGGGGCATTCTCCACAGTGTGCAATTAAATTTTTAATAAAAATCCGACATAGTTGGAATGAATGACAGATTGATTTTTTGACAGATAACCTAATAGCAATAAAGTAAAATAAAAAACAAAAACAGTTCGGAAAAGGAAAGTAAAGACTGCTAGAAATTAAACTAAAATAACCGTTAAAGTGTCTTAAGCTGGAATGCTGGAAACAGTCACCGACACAAAACGGTAGACCAAATCAGCTGATACGACCTATCTTATGAGAGCGCATCGTAATTGAACAGTCACCACCGCTTCTACCGTCCGCTTCTACAGACCGTACGTTAGGATATCCGCGAAAATTTGATTTTTCCCGTAGAAACGAGTGAGCTGATTTCTCTCTTGCGACACAGGGTTGTCGGTCTCGATATTTTGTAGTAATTAAAAAATAAACTTGAATATATTTGAAATATTCTTAAAATAACTCAAAATCACAGTCGTATACAATTATTTATAAATATATAGACTATTTTTTATAGTTAGATATTAGTTTTGAGCTTTTACATTATAAAAAATTATAACTAAAAAACCAAATATGGGAAAAATCGTGTATAAAAATTGAGCAATGGCAATATTGGTGAAATGAAAACAAAAGAGAACAACTGATTTCTATGTTGCCACTACGGGCATAACTTTTTATTAAAATTAGGTTTGATACGGGCGGTAAGTACAAAGGCGGAATGCCGGCGACTGTTTGAAGCATTATTCAATACTCAGTTAAGAGTAACGCATTGTAAAAATAATCATTTCGGTGGAGGAGCTCAAGCTATTAGGAGAAAACTCTTGTTCAGCTGCATTGGCATTGGCCCTAAAAATAAGGGCTTAGAATTGTCAGCAGCTATGTTTTTTATTCAGTCGCCCAAAATTACCATGTATACTTCTTTGTATAAATATAATATTAAAGCCGAGTTCTACTCTGCCTACATCAAACCCTTTTTAACAGTTGAATATATAACTTGAATTAAATTAGGATCGTCAGAGTTGCAGAGGTTAAAAGCGGTTATGCTTTCATCGAAATGTCGAAATATTGATGACTTAAAGCTCAAAATTACTCTCTTGGCAGTCTATTCACCGCAAACGGATTTAAAATTAATAGATTTTGTTACAAATAATGACTGATTCGATGGAAAGCGATTTGCCACAGTAGATAATGTTTTAACAATAATTTTTTGTGATTTGCGAAAGAACCTAATATATTGTACATTATTAAAAAACTGCATGTTACTAAAACAGAACGGGTTTTTGAAAACTAAAATTTATTTTCACAATTTAAATTCGTAAGATTTTCTCTAAAGTTTTATTCAAAACGTCAAAAAACATCGACAAAATGAACGGCTGTAATTTAGTTAGAAAACATTACTTTCAAATTTTATACGAAGCTTGCTTTCTTCAAACGCGTCAAAAATTTTAATTTATATAACGGTAAATACAACAATTACAAAAATTATTTTACTCACCACACTTGAAGAACCGTCCAAAGAATTCGCAGAATTACGCGCATCCGCATGACTTCTTGTTCTCAGGCAACGTGTTTCTGCAGTGCTATGCAGCAGACTAGCCAAAGGCTTTTCGTCCTCCTCATCCTCATCAAGCACCTCTACAGCTTCGACTGCAACATCGCTTTGCGGTTGCTGCCCCTTTATTCCACATTCTTCTGCATCTGATTTCCTACACTCACGCCAACGATCTGTCCGTCTATCGGATAAATCCTGCGCTTGTGCACGATACTTCTCCTCCTCCACCGTAACGGTATCACTGACATCTTCAACGTCGTTGGATGTGGTCGAAGCATTGTCCAATGGACTGCAATCTTCCTCGTCCAGCTGCGTTGACGCCGCCGCCACCTCAGCTACTTTTTCTAACCTCTCTTCATCTTCGGTGGGCGTAGATGTCACTGTAGAAGATTGAAGAAAATTAGCAGCTGTTATATGACCTGCATCACAAGCTAAATCGTTTGTGGGGAAAAAGTGTGTTTGAACGGGAAGTTGACTGCCGGTCGAGACATTGTAAGCAGCCGCTGCCAATGATAGCGCCGCCGCTGCAGGCATGCCCGAATTCGGTGTTGTTGGTGTTAACAACAAATTCGACGACGTGGTGAGTGCGGGCGGTGTGGTCGCTAACATTGGTGGCGGTGGTGCTGACAATTGGCCGAGCAGTAACTGTTGTAGGGGGGAGAGTTTGTTGTGTTGTGTATTGTGTAGTTGCTGTTGTTGTATGGCTATTGAGGAGTTGGAATTACTATTAGGACTACGGGTGGTACAACTACTGCTACTACTACAGTTGGTGATGGTGGTGGTAGTGGTTTGCGAATTTTTGCGTAAATGCGTTCTTGGATTGTGCGGCTGCGACTGTGGCTGCTGCTGCTGCAGGAGTTGTTGCTGTGATTGTTGTGTCTGGTCGACGAATGTTGTTGCTGTTGTCATTGTGCTGCTGCTGATGTCCATCTCCATTTCGCGCTTACTGGGTGAGGGAAGATTATGCATTTGCTGTTGTTGTTGCTGCTGCAATTGCTGTTGCTGTTGTTGTTGCAGCAAATTCATCATATACAGTTGCATGATAAACTCCAGTTGTGTCGACATTTTGAGCTTGTTTTTGTTTTTAACGTTTTCGTTTTTATTGTTGTAAAATTGTATTAAAATTTACGAGCACACTCACGCACAAGCAGACGATGAGGGTATTCACGGTCAATAACGGCACTTTTCACAGCAATAATTCTTTTGAAGTAAAACTATTTTATTTTTAAATATTTAATTTAAATTTCAATATTTGCACAACAATGTTTTTTTTTTAATTTTCAGTTATTATATTTTATGCTCAATATATTTTTCAAAAATTATTAACAAAAGTTTTCAAGTAATTATTTTTAATAGTTTAGCAATTTATTATTTTCAGAGAATTTTTCATAAATTTTATATTAAACTCAATATTTTTCCAACTTATTAAAATCCAAGAACAGCACAATACTCCTACAATGATTCTTAGTTCGCAAAAAATTCACAAAACCACACTAATATATTTTTTTTTAATCTTCAAATTATCAATTTGAAATTAATTCTTTGCAGCGACGTAGCTGTGTCTTCGACTACAACTCTTTCGTTCGCATGTAGCCTTAAAGAAATAGAAGCGATTGATTTGTTAGAATGTCTCGCTAGCTTGGCATCAAGGCTCAAACTGATTCAACTCTTCCACAGCAGGCGTCTAATATACATGACTGTCCTTAAAAAAATTCTTCTAATGCCAAAAAATAGTCCAAATTGCAGCATCGCAACACTTTCAACCCTCTCCCTGCCGGTAAAAAGTGATCAGCAACTCTAGTTTTAACAGCAAATAGCGTACTCACCTAGCGTTCTCTGCTAAAAAATATCTTCCATATACAAGCACGCACACATAAATCCATAGCAATCCGCTCCGATCCCTTGCTCTGCTCATTATTTGCAACGACACACATACATTTATACGTAGTATTCGGCTTAGTAGAGCTAATTTTCACTTTTTAAGCCAGAGGGTTGCTGAGCTCAGCTATTTTTTTAGCGTATCAGATCCATATTCTCTCATTCGCAACCGCACTCAAACTCTTATACTACTTGCTTGTGCTCTTTTGATGCTCGGGAAAAATGATTTTGGTCGGTAAAAAACATTTTTTGAAAATCTCTGCTAACTCTGCCAACTTGTCGTTGTTGTTTTTGTGTAACTTTATTTCCCAAATTTTGCAATTTCTTCCACCAATAAAATGCCAGCAAAATGCTAATCGCATACGGAAAGTGGTGTTTTTTAGATAAAAAATGAAAATCCAACAACCAACGGCAAGTCGAGGAATTTGTTCTTTCCTGCTGTGCTCTTGTTTGAGTTTTTTCTACGTTGTAATTGTTGCTTTTTATTAGATTCGGACAGCTGTGCATAAAATTCCTTTGGTGCGAAAAAATGGCATATGGGCGAATTGAGCGAATTGAATGCGAATGCATATGTATGTTTGTTATGCACATACATACATATATTCACACTTACATACATGTGTCAATAATATATAATTTTTTAATTTAATAATTAATATATTCCAATGAGGATTTAGTGATTTTCAAATAATAATTAATTATTAATAGAGTTCGCAATATTAACTAAATCTACCCTTTTACTGGCTGCACAACTCTTGAAGTATTTCAGATGTACACACACATATACATATGTATATGTTAAATAAATTCACTTATTGAACATTTTTTAGTAACTGAAAGCTAGATTCATCATTTCTTCTTTCACCGATTCTATACTTTCAATAATATAAAATTATTAAACGCAAAAATCTTTCAAAGAACTTCCGAACGAACATTTTTTCATGGTCCAGCAAATATTTATCAAGTAGTATTTTTAAAAAGGCCTATGGAATCGTCAGGAAAATGAAAATGTGATCTGAGAAATAATAAAAGAGTTCATAAGATGTACTGAAAAAGGTTTCACAAACCTCATATGGTACTCATGACTACTTAGTAAACGTGGGTCCTACACATTGGCTAGACGTTTGGCGCAACTTCTGCTCAAATTTTTTATGCGCGTTTTGACGTTTCTTTATGGCAGAAATGCTCCAAAGTTTGCCGCTATTAGAAAAAACCTTTTGACACTACTCGGTGATCAAAACATGATACTCTGCAGCAGTATAGAGCTCCTACTAGTAGTTGTCCCTTCCTTATTCTATTGGCTTGGTTATCTTATAGTTAAGCGAAATCCAATGGATAACTACTCTTTCGTAAATCTTTGTGATAAATTGGTACCACGCACTTCCTAATGTCTACTAGTGTTTGGCGATAAATAGTGAATATATGGTAATTATCTAATAACGGTTTTTAGATGATTCTTAAGAAATTTTTTTTGAATAAATTAGGTTTTTTTACGGTTCACCTAATTTGGGTTCCCAAAAACTATAGAATTATGAGTTGTATGAACCTAGTGGTATAACCGTCATAGCTTGGGATTTAAGATCTGGCGTCTTTCAGTTTGTTCCATATTCTATTAATACACGGATGCGGAAAAAGAGTTATTGCCTAATTATTGAAATATCTAGTAACGATAACTTAAGTTCCGTTTTGAGTTTTGTGAAACATATAAGAAAGGATTTACTACTGAAGACTCCGCTCTAATCGCATATTGACTATAGTAGTAATCGAAAAGGTTAGAGGAGTAATTACCAATACTCTAAATGTATGTATATATTAACTTGTATAGGAATTTCACTAAAACTATGCTATCAAACTTTGAACTAGACTAAAAAGCATAAGATTGCTACTCAAGTAATATTTTGCATGGGCTTTTGATAATGATCTATTGTTAAAGATCTGGCTTCCTCCTAGTATGTATAACAACAAAGCACACTGTGGAGTTCAGTTTTCTTCTCAACGGAAAAGGGTAATGTGAATTTTCCAATTTAGCCATTTTTAATGCAGTTTGAATTTACAAAAGCTAACGTACTGATTAATATGGAAAATTTCACGCACCTTTTGGCAAGTTGCACGCGGAAAATGGCGAAAAAAAGGCGCGGAGAGAAAATTTAATCGAATTGAATGAGCACAACTTCGCAGCTGCAAAAAGTACGCTGGATTTAAGGAAAAATGCAAAATGCGCGCATAAAATATAGCACGACAAAATTATGATTTCCATTACAATTACAAATAATGCGAAATCGACGCAAAAAAATCTGCATTACAAAGAATCGGTGAATGTGGAGAAAAAATGGCGCAAACGTTTTGCGAAAAATATAAACCGAAATTATATTAACGCAAATGAAGTGAATGAGGTTTAGGGAAAAACACGAATTTGCATAATTCATTGAGGCGCAAACATTGAAGAGTGCCAGCAGAGGGAGGCACTGGCAAAAAAGGTTTGTCAAAAAAAGCTATTAAGAAGCACAACAACACGATGCGAAAATACATTGGAAAAGTGTGCGCACAGGATTAAAAGGCAAACAGCGCCGAATCCAGGATGTTGTAGGACGAGCGAGACGTTGCGAGCGCAGCAGTGCTGCCACGCCGATCGTTTGCCGATATCATTTGCATAAATTATTGCAAAGACCTGATCGCTGTCGATTTGCATGCACAAACACATACACAAACGCGTATGTATGCATGTAAAGGGTAGCATAATTTTGGCAATTGCGGCGTTAGCGAACGCGCTGCTCACCTTACGATTTTCAACCAGAACGAAATTCGGTCGGGGCGCGCATGCGCATAGTGTTATGCAAATGACCTGTCGAACGGTTCGATTGAAGAGTCTTTCACCATTCACTATTGCAGAAGTGTTCCTCTACTTCGATTTATGTATGTATTTATATATCCGCGCAAGCAATTGAATGGCGCATGCGCACAATTTTCAACGAACGTGTGCTGCTGTTTTTTTTTTCAAAACTAATAGAAATTTATGCAAATTAACAAATGAATGAAATAGTAGTGCGTGTACAAGCTGAAAAATATGTAGGGATATATACATATGTATATATACGTATATATATATCTTTACATTTGTATATTGAGCGTAAGAGATTATAAAGCGCAAGCAGTCAATATATTCGATTCGGTTCGATACGGCAGTTTGATTTGTTGGAAATTTATTGTGGCTACAGGACACCCTCCCAACTTTAATTTTATTAAGGCAATCATTCTGCAAGCAGAGCTGAGTATTGATGAATATACATACATATGTATATTTATATTTATATATAGTGTCTATTTCCCTACAAACATATATATACTTAAACCGATATTTCGAATTTCGAAATGCCTATGTAATGCCGGTAGCGAGCAAAACAACAACAAGTAACTGTATCACTAAATTTAACCCAGCTCAAGGCGGCATTGTTAAATATATTATACAATTGTTGGGTTAATTAAGCAAAACACCGCAGCCAAGAAATGTCAAAAAAGTTGGAGTAAAAGTTCAACTACTTGAGGCGCTTATTAGGGTGAATCCTTTTTTACTACACAATCGGGTAACGTATGCTGGGGCATAACCAATTTTTTTTATACCACGATATATTAGATGCCTTTTTTAACCATTACTCGTTAATATTTTATGCGGTTTTAAAAAATTAAATCGATATTCCGCTCAAGAAACTGAAACTGAGCTTAAAACTAAAAGTCCTGTTGAAGAAGGAAATTTATTTTCCAATTTCAATGACATTCCTTCCAGATATGAGGCCGTCTAATTTTTGTTTTCAGATGAGACCTCCTTCCAAGATCTTCAAAACTGTTTTATTTATATTAACACTTTCATACATATATTTGAAAGATTAGCCAATATAACTGAGCTGCCCTAATGTGGGCCTTTTTCACCTTATATAACTCAGCCTAAAATCAATGTTTATTTCTCATCAGCAGTCGTGCGGATAAGTATTGATTTCACTAAACCAAAAGGCTAACCTATGCCCGTTCAAACATACACAAACAAATGCTCACATTTATTAGTATTAGCATATCCACTTTGGATTTATTTTCCTTCCAACTTCCTTCCAAAACCAGCATTTCATTTGCCTGGGTTCTCTGCATATTTTCGCCATTGTGCGACGCTACAAAATCGCAATAATGCCAGGAATCAGCATAAAAATAGCGAAATACAATGGCCATTGTGCCGTCGTCTGTGACAGTTGCGAGAGTTTTCAGTTGACGTTTTCCGTGCTCAGTTACAAGCGGAAAAATATTTGCCTCCACGAAAATGCAACATTTGTAATTGGTTTGATGCAAATTTGCATATTCGCTGCCAAAGGCTTACACATATACATACGCACACAAACAGCCATTGCTGTGGCTTTTGTTCGATTTGATGCGTTTTTGATTTGCTTTTATTGAATTGATCCAAGTGATTAGGTTACAGTGTTTAACTGAACTATATAAGCATGTATATGTCAATACACATACATATAAACCTACATTGTTATTTGCATTTGTACGATTTTGCATTATCCTGCCGTTACAAGCTGGATTACAAATACAACAAACCAATGTGATTGTTAATCAAATGAAGCGACAATTATGATCAGGCACATTCTCAGGTTGAGGCATTTCACAGCTAATATTGTACATACATAAGTATTTGTATATATGTATGTATATGTACAGATATGTAAAAACATTTGTAGAATTCTTTATAGTACATTTCTTGAATGTCAAGTAAGTATTTAAACATCCTTCTTCAAGAACT